TTAAACATGCAATATTTAAAACACATGTTTAAAAATATTATAAAAGTAATTTAGTTATGTAAGGAAATAATAAATGAGCAATATTAGTCACAATTTAAAAGGCAAACTTTTACCTTTTTGTATGGACATATATATGTATGTGTGTGTGTGTGTGTGTGAGAGAGAGAGAGAGAGAGAGGGAGATAGATTGTGCTTAAGGGTGTGAGGGTGTGCGCGCACGTGTCTATAGACGTCTCTCATTCAAATTGGTCAGTCGCATCCATAATTATATATATTTTAGTTTACAACACAAAAATCTTATTCAGGTCACGGTACAAAGAAAGGTTTCCAAATTCTGGAGGCTGTTATAATAAAAGCGAAGCAGACAACATTAAATAAGGCGTCTTTCTCTACAGGATGCGTATATTGAAGTGTTTCATATATATATATATATATATATATATATATATATAACACACACAAAAAATCAGTTTGACCGTTTATATGACGTCACCAAGAGTAAATTGAAATAGATTCCATCAAACGTGAGAATTCCGGAATTAAAAAATAACAGAAACAGTTACGTAACTACACACAGAACAATCCTTGAAAACGAATGAAGTATCATTCGAAAGTACTTGAGAGGAAAATAATAATATAAATTAACATTTATGAATTTTGGCAAATATACCCGATGAAATAGAACAACTTAAAGTAAAGATTTAATAGACAGATTTCGTCCATCTTATTTAACAAAAGATGTTTGCTGCGAAATACGTTATTTAATATATATATATATGATAGTTTTCTGGAAGTTTTTTAGGAAGAAATCTCATAGTATTTTTATATTTTTATATACCTAGGTATATATGTAAACTTAAGAGATAGATACGCGTTAATCACTCCGTGGGTTTTTAATATTGGTAACGTTTTCTTCCTCAGTGTTCTGTAAGTACAAATTAATTTAATTCTGACCATCTATTTTTATATGTTAAATGTGTATATGGATGGTTGTGGGTTTTTTAAATTTTTAGAAATTTTTTATCTTTTATCTTTTAAATTATATATATATATATATATATATATATATATATATATATATATATATATATATATATATATATATATTTATGTGTGTGTGTGTGTTTGTGTGTTTTATATATATATATATATATATATATATATGTGTGTGTGTGTGTATGTGTGTGTATGTTTAGGTATGTATTTATACATATGTATATGTATATATGCGTATATATGTGTATGTGTATATGTATGTATATATGTATGTATGTGTATATGTATAGTTAGATGGATAGATAGATACGTTGTATATTTGTTTAGAAGAATGTGCACGTATGTGTATGTCCGTATGTATATGTGTGTAGATATATATATACGCAGGGTGGGTGTGTGGATATATATATATATATATATATATATATATATATATATATATATATATATATATATATGTGTGTGTGTGTGTGTGTGTGTGTGTGTACGTGTAAATATAAATATAAATATGTTGTTGTGTATGTGTGTATATAAGTATGTGTTTTGGGGCATAGAAATAGTAGCTCCTTGCTAGATTAAATATTCGTTATTTTTTATATGTTTATATTAAATTTGTAACCTGTAGTTGATATTACTTTTGTCAAATTTTCTTGATTGAACAGAGGCTCTTTTATAAATGCCCCTCGGTTTTAGTTGCCCCCCCCATCTTCCCCCTTTTTTCTTTTCTTTTCTCTCTCTCTCATCTTCCGAATTTTAAGTTTAGATTATATCGTCTTTTATTGTGCGTAGTGTCACCACAAATGTATACACCCATTTCCGGTGTCGGTTTTTAATTTAATTTAGGTCAGAGATTCTGTAAGGAATTGTGTATAGGAAAATAATTCATATCTGTTTGTCAATCTTTTAAACCGTCTTTTAGACTCCTCTCTTTAAAACTTCTCTCTGTTAAATTTTAATCTCCGCCTCCATTTTTAGGCCTTCCTGTTCTTCTCTCACCTGTTACCCCTCTCTATAGCTTTCATTTACCTCTCACATTCGTCCCCCACTCTCATTCATACATACACTCTCACTAAATTTTATTTTTTTATTCCCGGCGTTACTTTTTTCTGATTTCGTTTTGAAATTGTAGTTCTGATGAATTGGATCGTAATTACGATTCCAATCTAATAAATTATAACCATGGAATATTAGTGTTTAAGCCTTTTTATTATATTCTGTCCTGGACATTGAGTTCTATCAGGATTCTATCCTCTTGGAAACTTTTTATGTATATGTATGTGTATATATGTATATATATATATATATATATATATATATATATATATATATATATATATATATATATATATATATATGTATGTGTGTGTGTCGTCTCTAAGTGTTGATTTCAATGTTTACTTTTATATTTATATTTACATATGCTCTATCTATGATATTAAGCACTTTATCCCATAATCATATTTCACCTTAAAAGTATATTTTTTCATATACAAGCTGTCTATAAAGTTCGTGTGCACTTTAAGAAATTTATAACTTTATTTGTATTTGCGATAGAAATAATTTGTAAAAATGATTAGAAAGAAGTAAATCTATATTTTTTAAGGTTTTATTGAAATTTCATTTAAGTTTATGGATGCAACAGTTTAGTCGCTGATACATGGCTTTCCAGACTTCGGCTTATCATGGAAGGGGCCTGTCTCTTTGAATTTTTTCTCCATTTAGCAATAATGTTCCTACCAGGGGGTTATTTATTATATTCAATTCTAAACTTTCTTTGTACAGCAATAATAGATTTCTGTTCAGCCAAGCAAAGGACGCAGTTTACTTTTTCCTCATTTGAAGCCATGGATCAAATTGATTCTGGAAAAAAGAAAATATTTTTTTACTTATCTAAAAATTGTTGCAAATTTTGTGGTAAAGAATTATTCAATAACTATACTTAAAACTAGGTATATTAACCTTTATAACGCTTTTTACAGATTATTTCTATCGCAAATACAAATAAAGTTATAAATTTTTTGAGTGCACACGAACTTTATGGATACCCTGTATATATACATATATATATATTTATATATATATATATATATATATATATGTGTGTGTGTGTGTGTGTGTGTGTGTGAAGATACATGCAATGCCTTTAACAGCTTCAACAATCCCAGGTACTGATAGCTCCGCTTCGTAGCAATGAAGTGTTCACCCACATGTTTAAATACTCATGCCAGAAAATGCAAAGTAGCCGTTACAGACTGGCCGGCACCCGATGCTATTATGAACACATTCATCGAAAACGAGGCTCTGAATACAGATGCCTCTGTCTTTTCTAAAGAATCTGCCGAGTCTGGAGAAGGTCCGATTCTGGAGATGACTAATTTTATCTTTGGAATATGCCGCTGCACGGTCGAGAGATGGTGTGAAGTGAGAGGGAGAAAAAAATCAGGAGGTTCATAACTCCACTCACCTTTCTGTAGTTCGCTTCAGATCTTGTTCAGCGTTGAGTTGGAATTGCAAAGTTGGTATTCAGTTTGGAATAAGAGCCAACGGGAGAGGGAAGGAAGTTAACAAAGAAAGAATGGGTAGCTTATGTCTGAAGAAACTACTGAATAGGGATTGTCTTTTTCTTTTACCCCCTCCTCTTTTTTTCTACATATCGCACGTCCCACATAAATACATAAATAAGTATTGAAAGGAGACACAAAAGATTTGGCAGATTCCATCTCTGATTCCAAGAATTCATTAATTGAAGTGCTTTGCGATCAATGTATATTTTCCTTTCATTTTCTTTCTTTCTATTTTCTTTTCCTTGTTTTCATCTTTCTTTCTTTCAATAATTTTTCTTTTTAGTGTTGTTTCGCCATTGTCTAATTTCTTGTTATTTATTCTCTTTCGTCTCATCTTCCTTTATTTCTTATTCTTCATTTTTAATCATTATTTCTCTTTCTTTATTTTCATCTTTTGTTCTTCATTTTTTCAGTATTTCTTTCCTTGCTATCTATTTATCTTTCTATTTCTCTTTCTTTTAAGATATTTTTTTCTTCTTTCCTTTCTTTGTTTCCTTTTTTGTTTATATTAGTATTTTTCTTCTTTGTCGTCTGACTTTCTATTTTTGTTCGTCTTAAGCTTCTTTTCATTTTAACTTTCGTTTTGGTCTCCTTCGTTTCTATTAGTTTTTCTTTCTCTCATTCTTCCATTTTTTCATTGGTTCTTTTCAGTTTTCTTTCTTTCGTTCTTTCTTTCTTTCGTCAGTTTTTTTATCTTTGTAATGTAAAAATGTTATTCTTTCTTCTTTCTTTCTTCCTTTCTTTCTTTCTTTCTTTCTTTCTTCTTTCTTATTTCTTTCTTTCGTTATTTTTTTCATCTTTGTAACCTAATAATGTTATTCTTTCTTCATTTCTTTCTTTCTTTCTTTCTTTCTTTCTTTCTTTCGTTAGTTTTTTTCATCTTTGTAATGTAAAAATGTTATTCTTTCTTCTTTCTTTCGTTCTTTCTTTCTTTTTTCTTCTTTCTTTCTTTCTTTCTTTCTTTCTTTCGTTAGTTTTTTTTCATCTTTGTAACCTAATAATGTTATTATTTCTTCTTTCTTTCGTTCTTTCTTTATTCTTTCTTTCTTTCTTTCTTTCTTTCGTTATTTTTTTCATCTTTGTAACCTAATAATGTTATTCTTTCTTCTTTCTTTCTTCCTTTCTTTCTTCTCCTTTTCTTTCTTCTTTCTTTCTTTCTTTCTTTCTTTCGTTAGTTTTTTTTCATCTTTGTAATGTAAAAATGTTATTCTTTCTTCTTTCTTTCGTTCTTTCTTTCTTTTTTCTTCTTTCTTTCTTTCTTTTTTTTCTTTCTTTCTTTCTTTCTTTCGTTAGTTTTTTTCATCTTTGTAATGTAAAATGTTATTCTTTCTTCTTTCTTTCGTTCTTTCTTTCTTTTTTCTTCTTTCTTTCTTTCTTTCTTTTTTCTTCTTTCTTTCTTTCTTTCTTTCGTTAGTTTTTTTTCATCTTTGTAATGTAAAAATGTTATTCTTTCTTCTTTCTTTCGTTCTTTCTTTCTTTTTTCTTCTTTCTTTCTTTCTTTCTTTCTTTTTTCTTCTTTCTTTCTTTCTTTCTTTCGTTAGTTTTTTTTCATCTTTGTAATGTAAAAATGTTATTCTTTCTTTCGTTCTTTCTTTCTTTTTTTCTTTCTTTCTTTTTTCTTTCTTTCTTTCTTTCGTTAGTTTTTTTTTTCATCTTTGTATCCTAATAATGTTCTTATTTCTTCTTTCCCCTCTTTCTATCGTCCATCTTTTTTTTCCCTTCCGTTTTCCATAAGATGGTTTCTTTCAATTTTCTTCATTTCTCTGCTTTTCCCTTTTACCTTTCATTCTCTCTTTATTTCCATTCTATTTTATTCCATGCTTTCATGTGGTACGTTATTTTTCATTTTTTTTTCTACGAAATTATTTCAATTGTTTTTCTTTTCGCCAGTTTTATTTTTTATTCTGACTTTTTCTGTTTGTTTCCAGTATTAACCTTTTCTTCCCTTCTGTTGATATATTTGCTCTTTTTCGTTCTTTCTTTGTTTCGATGTTACTTTCTTTCTTCCATCCTTACACACAAGCGTGCCGCTCGCACACATACGCACGCGAGCACCCCCCATATATATATATATATATATATATATATATATATATATATATATATATATATATATATATATATTATATTATATATACATATATTCAGTTGTGTGTATATATATATATATATATATATATATATAAATATATATATATATTCAGTTGTATGGATATGAGTTTGTGTGAAATAAAATGCGTACACCTGTATGTATGTGTGTCTACGTGTGTGAGAGTGTCTTCCCAAGCAAACACAAAAGAACATTCCCCAATCCCACCACCAAACATAATCAAACACAAGCAAGCATAAATAGATCCAATTTTAAAAATTAAACCTGTTTGTCTGATGATCGCAAAAGCAGGAGACCCAAGGTCATAAACTCATATCCATACAATTGAATATATGTATGTATGTGTGTGTGTGTGTGTGTGTGTGTTAATTCTATCACTGATATTTGCGCTTTCCACTAAGTACTGCACACACACACACACACACACACACACACATATATATATATATATATATATATATATATATATATATATATATATATATATATATATATATTTACTGCTACCAGCAAGCAGAAATATATCTTATGATGATGGCCATTTTGGCTGAAACTAGTCGAGGAATCTAAATGAAATACAGTGTAACCCGGATGTAAGAGACCCGGATATAAGAGAAACCCGGATATAAGAGAGATTTTCTCTGGCCCCAAATTACTGATTACTTACCTAAACAAAATAGACCAAACCCGGATATAAGAGAAACCCGGATGTAAGAGACTTCTTCTCCGGTCCCGACAACTCTCTTATATCCGGGTTACACTGTAATAATAAAAAATAACGAAAGAATATTAATCTACAATCCAGTGTGTCTGAAGATTTTGATTTTTTAATATTTTTTATTATTCAAAAAAAATATATATATATAATACATACACACACATTTGAAACAGTTTTGGGATAAGCGTACACAGTATTGAGTATAGTGTATCAGGAGTTATAAGAAGTGTAGATATAGCGGTGAACTAAAATCTGGTGCCCTAAATGGCCCTCAATCGCGCAGTGGCCGCGCCTCAATCCGGCCGTGAGGTCCATCAAAGTGAAGGGCAAATGATTTGTCACAAGAAAAACATCCGAGAAACTCTATCACATACACTAGCCACACACACAAGCACACACACGTCTGTGTGTGAGCTTGTGTGTAGCGCTAGTGTGTGGGTGAGAGTACATATATAAAAATATATATTTATATATATATATTCCCATATTCACACACATACACACACGCATACACACACACACATATATATATATATATATATATATATATATATATATATGAATAAATTTATCGGATGTCTAACCACACTGATGAGCTGTGAAACAGCGAAACAGTCTGTCTGTGGATGACGTTATATATATATATAAACTTATTCATCTATATATGTAGGCATATCTACATATATATAATTATATTCACATTTTCACTGTCTGTTCGCATGCATTTATTTTCAAATACCTTTATCTATTCTCATATTCTCTTATCTTCAATTTCTCTTTCTTGTGTGTGTGTGTGTGTGTGTGTGTGTGTGTGTGTGTGTGTGTGTGTGTGTGTTTCTAACAGTCTTTCTTTCTGGACATGTTGATGCCTGCTTATTTATATCAGTCTGTTCATACATCTATCTATCTATCTATCTATATATATATATATATATATATATATATATATATATATATATATATGTATGTGTGTGTGTGTGTGTGTGTGTGTGTGTGTGTGTGTGTGACAGTTTTTTTTCTTTCCGGACATGTTGATGTTTGTTTGATATCTATTTTAGTCTGTTCATCTATCTATCTATCTCTCTGTCTATCTCAGTCTATTTAGATCTCTCTCTCTCTTTCTCTCTCTCTCCCTCTCTCTCTCTCTCTCTATATATATATACATACATACATATATATATATATATATATATATATATATGTGTGTGTGTGTGTGTATGTGTGTCTTTCTAACTTTCTTTCTCAATATGTTGATGATTGATTGATATTTATATCAGTCTGTTTATGCATCTATCTATCTATCTATCTATCTATCTATCTATCTATCTGTGTGTGTGTGTGTGTTTCTAAATTTATTTCTTTCTCGATATGTTGATGTTTGCTTGATAGTTCCTGCCACTTTCCCAGTCTGTCTCTTTAATTCCCAGTGTATTGCATATCCGAACCTCTCCACCTGCTAACCCGCCCCCAACCAATAGAGCATCTGGCATTGTGCTCTGATCCCCGCACTTGAATCGAAACGTCTGCCAATCGTTTTGCTTCAAGACGTTTCCTTAGGCTACGCCGATATTTCCACTTTGATGCTGATATGTAATTGGAAATTATATGACGGAGAAATTTTAGATTTTCCCCGAGGGGAAAGATTAAGGCTTGGATAATCATCGCATTAGATTCTGGATTGGTTTTTGCTGGGACAACTGGTACATTCATCACAATAAATAGGGTAAAATTATTAAATTTCCGGTCTTTATGGCTGTATTGTTCTTCCCAAACATAATAAAGCAATAATCTTTTTGTGACATTCAAAAGGCATTAATAAAAATACGTCAAATCCTTTGGCTTTGAATATATTGTCATATAAAGAGACCGATAAGATGAAATCTATGTATTTTCACGATTGTATATATTCACAGAAAATATCGATATAATTTCGAAATGATTAATGACCATTATTTTCACACTTCTCATTATTGCTGCTTTTATCATCATGTTTTGTCCGATGCGTTCTTCAGCCTTACTCAGTTTGGAAAATTCTGACCTTAGTCACTGCTATTATTCCACGATCTCTTCCAACTAATATTTACATCCTTGCGGTTTTTAGCGCAATGTTTCGGCTGAGGCTTTCTTCGAGCTTCCTAACTGGGTGAAATTCTGCGAGTATTTGCAGTTTTTTTTTTTGTTCTCCCAAATCCCCTCAAATCTAATAGCTTTATTGTTTTTTGTTCATTCCCGGTGCTCGGTAAAAATGGCAACGGTAAAAATGGCAATGGTAAAAATGGCAAAAGAAGGATAAATAGAAAAAAATGGCAATTCGACAACAGAAAATTATGACGAGAAGGATGGGTCTAAGCTCCTTCCCTCTAGTTTAAAATAGGGCTAAGTACCCCACTGAATATTTTAAAATAAATGATTGAACCATTAAGTAGCGTCATGATTAATTTCTGGTTTTATTTAGCACCTTTATTCTTCAAAGAACCAAGTACAATTATACAAAAATTTCCCCCGCATCCAGTCAGCATGGCTGACGCTCAACTCCACGAAAGCACCTCACTGCGCTACCTTGGTCTTACGCTTTCCACTGACCTGAGATGAAACAACTACATTGAATCAATAGTTTCATCTACCGCAAGGAAAGTTGGTTCTCTGTGTCGTGCCATCTTTCAAATCTACCATTCGTCCATGCATAGAATACTGTTGCCATATATAGTCTAGTGCCCCCTCTGATCATCTCGAGTTTCTCGACAAAATCCTAAGACGGTTATGCAATCTGATAGGTCCTGACTTGCCATCTCGTCTACAATCACTTTCTCATCGATGTAATGTGATTTCCCTCTGTCTTTTCTATAAATGCTTTCCTCGCATATGTTCATCCCGACTGCATGGATTTAAGCGTGCTACTTGGTTGTCACTTCGGTCCCACCCTTTTACTGTTGAAACAGTAAAATATAACCACCTCTATCAGCTTCTTCTCTCATAATTTCCAACTATGGAACTCCGTTCTTCTTACTTGCTCTCTGATAAATATAATCTTGAAAAATTTAAATGTAATGTCAATCGACATCTTCGGATCTCCGTTCTTCTTTTTATCCTTTCCTCATTCCCCCCTACATCTAGTCTCAGTGGCGATTCTAGTGGGAGGGCAAAAGAGGGCCAATGATCCCCTCTCGAATTTTGGCTGAACCCTCGGTCCCCCCCCCACTTTTCGAATCTTAAAAAATTTATGAAACTGATGCGTCTCTGATTTGGACAATCGTTGAATTAAACTGCATTGAGTTTTTTTGTTCAATCTGTGTGGAATTTTTTTCGGTGACGTTTCGCTAAACATAAATCCACTAGGAATAATTTCCCCCTAAATATTTATAAGAAGTAATTTCGTCAATTTCATCAACGTAGCCCGCCTAGTGAAGGAGTTACCCGTAGGTGAATATATGGGACCCAAAATTTATGTTCAAAAATATATAAATATTGATACATATAAGAAAAGATAATAATAATAATAATAATAATAATAATAATAATAATAATAAGAAGAAGAAGAAGAAGAAGAAGAAGAAGAAGAAGAAGAGAAGAAAAATTAGAAGAAGAAGGAGGAGGAGAAAGAGGGGAGGAGGTGGAGGAGAAGAATAAGAATTGAATTTGAATAAAGAAACTTGCTGTCACTTGTTCTCTAGAAAAGGCCACTAGTTTTTAACAGCGGAATATATATGATAGTTAATTTGACAGCTCTTTAAACAAATTAAACGGCTGTAGGCAATAAACAAATTATCAGTCATATTCCATCACCTTAATAAAATGCTAGACAATTATCAGTATAGGTCAAAGAAAAACACTTTGATCTCGTGTGAGGCCTATCAAACAAAATGCTTAGCTTTTCTAAAAGGACCAGACAACTATCTGAAAGAAATGTTGATTTATGACCCCCACTCCTGTCACTGGTCCTTGGGCTTTGATTTTCTTTGACTTTTGCAAAATGAGTTGTGTTTCAACTTGGGACATGTAAACATCAGAAAAACGAAAAACTAAAAGTAAAAGAAAAAGGACTTTCAAAATGGAAAATAGCCCTGCCGATCTGAAATATAATAAGTCCCCTTTTCTTTTTGTGAGTACAAGAAAAAACTTTTAAAAACAAATTCATTTTAAAAAGAGTAAAAGAAAACAAGTCACCTCTGTGAACTTTTCATTGTAAAAATAATTATATACAATTCTTTTCTTTCCATAAAACTTATATATATATATATATATAGAGAGAGAGAGAGAGAGAGTGTAATCCGGATATAAGAGACCCGGATATAAGAGAGACCCGGATATAAGAGAGATTTTCTCTGGTCCCAAATTAGAGCCTGTGTTAATGTAAATAAAATAGACCAAACACGGATATAAGAGAAACCCGGATATAAGAGACTTCTTCTCCGGTCCCGACAACTCTCTTATATCCGGGTTACACTGATATATATATATATATATATATATATATATATATATATATATATATATATATATACTAATTCTTTTATTGTTGTTTGTTTGTGTTTCTTTTCGTGTTTCACATCAGAAACCTTCAAATGTAGCCGTCTCTACTACTCCAATAGCTTCATACTTCGCACCGCTCGCCAGTGGAACACCCTCCCCAATTACTGTTTCCCTGAAAGCTATAATCTCCAACTATTCAAATGTAATGTCAATCGACATCTCCAATTACCTTGATCTACCCACTATCCTTCTCCTCTTCCTTTCTCCTATCACTCTTATCTGCTCTCGCTCCAAATCTTCCGCAACCCCCTGCATCTTAGTGGCTTCACGCCTTGCTTGGGGCACAATGCTTAAAAAAAAAAAAAAAAAAAGCCTGGTCATTTTGATATTCTCATTTATCCCATTTTGAATAAAAATTGACTTTATTGTATCTGGAGGATTCCTACCGTCGACGATACCTTTTACTACGTTTAATAGAAAAGTATGTCTAGTTTAGAGATATCAAAATAAAACTCCGATAACCACACTAATCCGCTACAAATTATCCGATTAACCCATTTTTCATCACCTAGATGATCGTTTTGTCATAACAATTAGTTCCCCAAATCGGAGATTACTTATCAATCAGTTTCGTAACATATTCATTCTGTATATGTTGCATTTTCATGTGTTGTAAGTACCTGAAACTTAAATACCCACTTGTGCAAATTAATTGAAGCAAAACGAATAATTACGTTATTTATTTACATTTTTTCGTATTTATCCGATGAAACATGACCCAGTGCACATGTTAGTACTTCGTATGTGCATTCCACGAAGTCGTTCCATGCGGATTGAGTACTGATTCTCGATTGGATTTAAATCAAGAAAGTTTCCAAGCCAGTCTATAGTACTTTGATTTGGTGTCGGGTAAGGCTTGCCAGTGTGTTCGTGCAGCGGTACAATTTTCTACGCTTCCGTGGCGTAACGTCCATCATAGACAATTACCGTAGGACAACTAATCGACAATCGAGATAATAGTGACTTGGCGCGATAAAAATCTGATGCAATCACGATGACGCAGGCCAAACAAATTTCATCATACACCCCAAAAATAGATTCATATTACTGCAAACTACTGTAAATGACCTAAAAATAGGAATCAATTACACCCTGTCACTCCTGTGGGTCTGAAATGTACCTTATGGTGAAAGAAAGGAAACTAAAGCGGTTGTTTCAATGTGCTCAAATGGTTTAAGGACATTTATCCGCGGCGAAAGACGAATGTTCAGACTTTCTTGTCGGTATCTATTTGCTGCTATTACCTATTGCGTTGTGCGCCTCAGGAAAAAGCTTCTTTTTTTTATTCTGTATATATGCCAGGGACGTACGTCAGAATTCATTAACGAGTAAAATCTTTAAAATACTACACTATATGCTACTTCCGCATAGCCTTATTCGTATCAAAATATGTATTTTTAATTATTTCATCTCATTTAAGGTAATCAAGCCACTAAGCCACAAAGGGTTACTGAGAATATGAGAAGAAAACGTTATTAAGGAGAGAAAGCAATAAAAGAGCAGGAAATAGAATATCAGAGAATAAGATAAAAACTTTTGGTTTGGTTTGTTTTGTGTTACTGAATATCAACACCTCAATGGGTTATTTAATGCCGACAAGGTTTTTATTGCCGGTAATATATTTTTCCAAAAATATATTGTTGGTAGTATTTTGTTTTTCAATTGTAATATTTTCGCAAAAATGTATTGCTGGTAAAACTTTTCCAAAAAAGTTTTTGCTGCTATTATAACCTATTTTTATACTTTCATGATGTTTTGACCCATTTTGGGTGGGGTTAACTATTTGCCCATAGCTGGAAGCCTGACAGGTGCTACCATCCCGGGCCAGGATGGACCTGGGAACACCAACAATTAAGATGTGGTTCCATGCTCCTCAAAATCTCCTAATCAAAGGCCTTGCTGTCGGATGTAGTTTATCGTCTTACCCAGA